TGATAGTCATGTATATAGAGATTAGAAATGCATGTAAAAACGTCTCAATGTCAATTGCCTTGGAATGAATTCTTCTGTATGAAAAAAAAACAAGTATCTTCTTGAAGTCCCTCAAATTAAGGTAAAGAATAAGAACAAATCATTCTGAAAGAATGCAAAGGAAAATAGATTTAGATATTTAAGTGACAATTGAATTTATTCTCATAATTGTTTTAATAGCTTTTGTATAATCTTCATCACTATTATGAGATATAAAATGTATTTATCAAATCTGTAACCATTATGCCAAAAAATCTGAATTACTGTAACATTTTGTATATTGTTAAAACTATAACTTTAATTGTAAAAAAAAATTTAAAAATAAAAAAATATATATTTCTAAATTAACTTTCAAAGAATACAAATTTTTAAGTAAAATAGCTTTAAAATTAAAAAAAAGTTGGTTTTCAACTTGTAGAGAACCACATTCTGCTCAAACTCCTTACACATGAGGTTATTTGGCTTCAAATCGCTTCATGTCATTTCTCCCCAAATGTCCCTACCTTCTTTGCTTCTCTGTGTCTCTAGCTCCATCTGGATTGTCTTTTGTCCCTCACTATAGTATGCAATGTGCTCTCCCCTCCTACAATCAGCTTTGGATATCGCACTGATACTCTGAACTTCCTTTCTCAGGACTACGAACTGATACGTAAGCTAATGTTAAAACTTGTGGCAGTTTCTAAGAACTCTCCTATGTAGGTAGAGCATTCTTATTGGTGGAACTGCTTGGGACTGCAGCATTAGATGCAGCAAATAGGATGGGTTTTTGCTGGTACTGCTACCACCAAAGCAACATGATAACAAAGCTAAGAAGAAAGGAAATGATTTGGGCTTGCTATGTCATTAAGCCCTTATGAATCACACTGAAGCAGCCGGGAGATGTGGTTAGCATTGCTGATCTCTATCTTTTGCCTAACTGGGAGAGAATGTTCCAGCAGGTGAAAGGGAATATTAAGCTTGAACATGACCTTGTTCAGAATTATACTGTAGTCTTGAGTCATCGTGGCCCAGAGCCAGGCCCTGGGGCACCAGGAAGTACTTTCTGGCCTTTCTTTAAAACTCATGCCTTTGTATGGAGGGAAAGGAGCTGCTCTGTGGTCTGGAGAAAGCAAGACACTTCAGCCCATTAGGAAATAGACATGTGTTTTGGAGTCTCCCAATGTAAGACAAGGAGGGAATCTTAGAGCCTTCCTAATGAACCACTCTGATTTTAGAAAAAGTAGAGAAAGGGTAAATTATTTACTCAAGGTTACATTGTTAGAAAGATAAGCAGGACAGTCTTCTGGCAGAAAAGCCAGAGTATACATATTCCAATTTTTCTATTATGAGAGAATTAAGAATTAGCATAAGTTAAAAAAATTAAAGAAGTTACAGGAGTGAGCACATGAGAGAGCCAGCTCAGATTATGGGGAAAGGAGGCATTAAGAGAATATCTGCTTAGTATCTCTCCAGCCTTGCTCTAGGAAGGAAGTGTTCCCCAAACCGGAATTCTGCCCAACATTCCCAGATTTAAACCAGGTAAACAAAGCTTGGTGAATCTGAACTCTTTCCACTTTCCTAGAGCACTTCAGAGCTGCAGCTTAAGTGCACAAAGAAACCAAATCTGTTTCCAAGGGAAAAGACCACTCTAGTAGAGTCTAATGAACTATTTCCTCAGGGTCAGCTTTTATAGGAGCTGTTCATGCGAGATGAAGAATGGCAAGGGTCTAGATTTGCAGGGCTAAGTGTAGATGGGCCTGAATATGAAATGGAATACTGTAGGGTAGATAATCCTACCTCCTTGCTTATACAGCAATGGAGGATGGCATTGCTGGAAGTGGTAGCCTTTGGTTTGAACTCTCTTACACCCTGGCTGCTGCATGATTCCTATCACTCTGACATCATCATAGTGTGACTCTGGACTCCCATCAAATGTTCTTTTGTCAGGGGTATCTGGGTTCCTTTTCTTTCACCTCACTTATCTGTCATTATCTGTCTTAGATCCAAGTTCCTACACTTTATCTTAGTTACCTCAATTCTGACTTGCGATCCTTTTGGTCATAGCCATGATACTCACAACTCAGCTAAGCAATACCATATTGGATTTGTCTTCTCTGCACTTAACCTGCTTGGTGGCAACCACACACCCATCTAATCACAAACACAGGGCACTCCAATATGGTAGGGCAATCTGTTTTAAGAAGGTGTTTTATATACCTGGGGATCCACATCTTTCTCCGGCATTGGACCAAAATGATTGAGTATCCGATTTTTCAGAGAAGATTTGAGTGAATGAAACCACGATGAGGCTTGCTCATAGACACAGTTATGTAATCCCACGAGTTCAGCACAATCGTCTCCCTGAACCTGAAAAATTTAAATGGAAGTGAAATACTCTGTACCTTCTCTATCTCTGTCGAAGTTGTTTTTGTCACCCGACGCTCTTGAGCATCCATCCTGCCTTCCCTTCACCTATCAGTGCAAGATACGGAACACTCAGCAGTTAGGAGCTGAGCTGTGTGCAAATATGTCAGAGAAGGCAGGAGGAAAAGTGTTCAGCTGACGAGGGTGACTGAAACAGCAAGACATACGGAAAGGTAATCTTGAGTTGGGTTGCTTACACCTCTGCCTTTTTCATTTTTACATTGATTTTCTTTCTACTGCTCACTGGGAAGACAGACATAGGTGCCTCAGTATGTCTTCAAAGTAAAATATATTTATTCATTGGTCATGTATTAATCTACTACACAGTTAATATGAATGAACATGGGATTATTGACCTCTTCATCTACCTATTAGCTCAGGATGCTAAGGAGTAACTGGACATGTGAGTTTTTTGCTTTAGGGGATGGTAGGCGACTGATTTAGGAAGAGTCTTCTTGGCCAAGTTGCACATTTTAAAATGCAAATGTATGGGGCTGGAGAGATGGCTCAGTGGTTAAGAACACTGACTGTTCTTGCAGAAGACCCAGGTTCGAATCCCAGCACCCACATGGCAGCTAACAACTGCCCGTAACTCCAGTTCCAGGGGATCTGACAGCTTCTTCTGTCCTCCATGGGCATTGCACAACATGGGTGCACCTACCTACATGCAGGTAATATATGCATATACATAAAATAAAAATAATAAATAAAATATTTTTAAATGCAAATGTCTATATGAATCTACAATAATCCCAAAACAAATGAGTTGGAAACTATGCATAGATCAATTAGACCCCACTCCAGATAGAGCCTCTGTTGTCACCAGCAGGGACCAAACTCAGTTGAATATCCCAGAGGCTTAGTCTCGACAATCATTTCTTATGTGCAACTCAGCAGCTCAGCAGGGAGAGTGAGGACTTTGAATGTTCTCACTGACATTTCACATTGGACAGCAGTCCAGGAGCATTTGATGTTGCTGCAGCAATTTGGTTAGAAATCCAAAAGGCCTCAAGACAATTCTGAGTAATCATTTTGCAATCATCTTTAGCTACAGTGATGACTCAGCTTTGGGTTTCTTGGCACAAGCCTTACCTTTTGATCTTCAATATATTCAATGTCTGCTGTATTGTAGCCATCTCGTTGGCCCTGATGGAGCACCCTGAAGCGTCTCCTGCCTATGCTGTCAACCACCGAGCGGCCATCGGCAAAGAATTGGACATTTCTGATTTCTAGGAGGCAGCCATATTCTGCAAACCTATTTATTAAGAATGAAGTTAAGAAAGTGGATCCTTGATAAGGTCTATTTTTCCTGAACTGGACCCCAGCCGTTTCTGATACCCTGTTCTGTTTGTTAGAGGAATTCAACTTGTTCACTTGTACCTTGGTCTACAGCTGCAACTATACAGCAGGTAATATCTATGCAAAAAAATTGAACATAATAATATATATGCTACCATTTGCTGAGCATATATCATATACCAGCCATAGTTTGAATGTTTGTTTCCCTCAAAGCTCATATTGAAATTTAATTGCCATTGTGGGGTCTTTAAGAAGTGATCAAGCCAAGAGGGTTCTGCCCGAATGAATGGATTAATTGCTGCAAGAGTATGTTTCTTATTAAAGGGAAGGTTGGACTCCCTTTCTCTCACTCTCTCTTTGCCCTTTTACAATGTTATAACACAACAATAAAGGCCTTTATCAAGGGCTGAACATGATGGGCACAATAGCAGTCTTAGTTATAAGGAGGACAAGACAGGTGACTCATAAGTTCAAGGCTTCCTGTCTTGGAATATAGCTCAATGGTAGAGCACCTGGCTAGCATGTGCGAGGCCTAGAGTTGAATCCTCAGTACAAAAATGACCATTATAAGATGCTGGCACTTTAATCCCGGATTTCACAGTCTCAATAATTGTAGAAATATATTTCTATTGCTTAAAACTGTGTATGGTGGTTCATACCTCTAATCCTAGCACTCAGGAGGCTGAGGCAGGAGGACTGCCATGAGTTCCAAGTCATCCTGGGTTACAGTATGAGACTATATCTAAAAAACTTTTATTGCTTATAAATAATTTAGTCTACAGTATTCTGTCACATTATTCTAAACGGACTCAGCCAGCCAGAAACTGTGCTTAGTGCTTTATGTGTGTCAATAACTCAAAATTCTCCAAACAAATAAAACCCAATGAGACAGGCATATCATCATGTCCACTTTACTGATAAAGAAACTGGAGACTGAAAGGTTAAAGAACTTGCCTAAAATCAAAGGTGATCCAAGACCAGAGCTCAACCATAAAACCGAACAGTTTGGCTCTAGGGTCTAAACTCCCACGATTTATTTATTTATGTGTTTCTGGGTTTTTTTTAAACACCAGGTCTCTTATATTCCAGGTTATCCTTGAACTCCATATGTAGTAAAGAATGACCTTGAAATTCCGACCCTCTTGCCTCCACCTCTCCAATGCTGTGATTACAGGTATGCACCACTACATCCGGTTTATGTAGTGGTGGGGATCAAACCAAGGTTTCATGAATGGTAAGCACTCTACCAATTGAGCTACATCCTCAGCCCATAAGACAAGTTTTATAATGTGCATCACCTGCTTAACAAAAGGTTACCTCCAGGGTTATCTGAAATAGGGAGCCTCTTCTACAATAAGGTAAGCACCAGAGGGACTGTAATCTTTACAGATGCTCTGGTGTTTGAACCGGCCTACCTCATGATCTTGTTGCCCTCCACCTCTAGAAGCACACCAAAGTAAAACAGAGTTGCTCTCTACTCAACCTCCCTGGACTCCAGGTCTCCTCACTTACCCTTTGACAGGATCTCCAAGGCACATGCCAAACTGTTTCGTGCCTGTCTCAATACATCTCCGAATCATCAGGCGGTAACAAGGCTCAAAGATGTGCAGGGGACAAGGAACAGTGGGATAAGCCATGGTACACACAAAAATAGGTACATTCTTATGTAAGCTGTCAGGAAGAGCAGATGAAATGGATCTCAAATCAACAAGGCAGAAAACAAAAAATTTGGTCAAATGTCATCACGTAGTTCCCTTGGGGGAAAGCAAGGCGTTATCAAATTTTAATGGCTGACAGAAAAAAACTGAAATGCAACTGATGCTGTAGGCTCAGCCAAATTATCAGGTACAGAAGCTTGTCTAAGATCTGAAAGATTAAAACTGGCATTGCACACATTCGAATTTGGTTTGTGTTTTCTCTATTACTTTAAAATTGTGGGTGACAGCTATGCTGTACCCTCCCTTCCATTCTCCATTTTCTTTTCACTTTCTTTCATCTCTTCCTTTCCTCTTTCTTTCCTTCCTTTCTTCCTCTGCTCAAATTGACTAGTTCAGGTACTCTGTTGGCAGTATGAAGAAGGGTACTAATGCTATAACTGTACTTAGCCCTGCAGAGGGGCAGTGGGAAATACTCTGCAAAGTCCTAACATGCATCTCAAACTTACAAAGCCTCTCAGAGAACATTCAGAACAGACCCAGCTAGGAGGAGGAATGATGGAGAGAAAGCCAGCAGTAATATTTCCCAGTGATATTCTAATTCTCCTGTACATCAAAATAATAGGGAACACAACTCCAGATGACTGGGCAAACACACCTCCAGAGATATTGATGTATTAACTCTGGAATTGGGGCACATGGGTCTCCTTTTCAATGGGTACTTTTGAAGATTCAGACATATGGCCCACTGGGGAATCCCCAGCTGGGCCAGCTCTTCCTGGATCTTGGTTCTCTTATTCATCTAGTAAATCCAGTACAGGAACATCTGTATCTAACCCTACCAAGAAATGTAAGTTCATCCGGAAATCTTGAAAGGGTCACATTTGAGGTTCTTTTAAATAGAAAACCCTTCCGTATATTCCAGTATTTAATTCAACCTTATGTGATGGTTGAGAAAAGGACTCAGAAAAGTTAAATGCTAAATAAAGAATTTTTTTAATTAAATTAAAATGTCCTGAATGATTTTAATATGTCAAGAAACAAAGATTTCTAGTTTCTGAAGAAAAAAATCATTGAAAATGAGAGGCACATGCAGAACAACAGGAGACAGAGTTTAGAAATGTTCTCTATGGGGTGAGCATACAAGCAGAAGAGATTTTTGCCCTCAGGAAGCAGCTCACCCTCAGAATGCTGTGAGGATTCTTCTGGGGAGCAGGAATGTGCAGGCAGCAGAGGGACAGGAATTAGCAATTACTTCCTGCTTCTTCTGTGAAATGAACAACAGGCAGAGCCCTTGGAGATCCAATTATGTTGTCATCCCAACCCTTCACCTCTCACACTGTGTGTGGCAGAGAAAGCATGTAGCAAGTACAGGTGGTATTGCCATGTATTGAGTGCTTATTGAACCAACTCATTTGGGCCTTCAGAAAAAGTTCATAATATAAACGTTATCATCTCCATGTTACTGGTGGAGAAACTGAGTCCTAGAAAGGGTAAATAACCTGCCTAGAGCCATGAAGCCTACTAACTTGGTGACAAAACTGGGTCTTCACCCCAGATACGGCTAATGCCAATGCTTTTAACCTCCTAGCATCTGCTTATCAATCTGAAGTCTGTCTTCTGAGTGTTTCATGAGGTTCCCTGATTAAGCTACTTCAATTTACTCCTGCCACTGACACACCATTATTACTGCAGAGATGCATCAGATGATCCCGTGGTTTGGCTTATGCTTCTTCAGAGGCATGCTGGAGAATATTTAACAACTGCTTTTCAGTGGGATGGGAGAGGGCAGTTTGTAATGTTTGCTGACTTTCATGGTGTAAATAATCTTATCATGGCCATTTCAAATTATCAGTATGGTATCACTGAACTGAGCTAGGAAAAATGTATACATTCAGCTTCCATGAGCTGATATGCATGAAACAGAAAATAGAAACACATATAGACATACTTAGAAAGCTCTTCCATTTCTTCTTCATGAAGCCGCCTTCGTTCCTTGAGTTCTTCTGGCAGGAATTTAGCTATCATCTCCTCCATTATTACATTTTTGCTATATTTTCTTGATGGCAAGCACTATCAGAGAAATAAGCTAATGAGATACTATACAGTCCAGAGAAAACACTGAGGACTTCTGATGTAGCCCATATCGTAGTCAAACCACTCATGTATTGTAGTAATTTGGACCCACAATTTGGGAGCCAGTAGTTCACAATACAATACATATCCTCTGGATATTAAAGTGTCTATTTTGTCAAGAAAAGCATATGCAATTGATTACCTTTACAATTAAAAATGATTTTTAAGGCCAGGCGTGGTCGCGAACGCCTTTAATCCCAGCACTCGGGAAGCAGAGGCAGGCAGATCTTTGTGAGTTTGAGACCAGCCTGGTCTACATAGTGAGTTCCAGGACAGCTGGGGCTACAGGGAGACCCTGTCTTAAAAAGACAAAAATAATGATTTTTAAAAAAGGACAAATTGCATTTAAACTTTTAAAAGAGCTCACAGATAACGTAAATTTTGAATTTCAGATCATGTTCATATCTGAACTAAAGAGGAAAATTCACTTCCTTTTCACTTTTCTTTTTTGTTTTTTGTCTTTTTTGAAACAGGGCTTCCCTGTAGCTCCAGCTGTCCTTGAACTCACTGGGTAGCTCACAGATATCCTCCCGCCTCTGTCTCCTGAGTGCTGGGATTAAAAGATGTGTGCCACCAAGCTAGCCCCTTTCACTTTTCTTACCTTGTGTTTCTAAGCTTTAACTGGAATGTTCTAAAACTCAGTAGTCAAAGGGTTAAGGGAAAGCCATTCAGATGGCTCAAGGGGTAAAGGCACTTGCTGCCAAGCCTGATGACCTGAGTTCAATCCCTGGGACCTATGCGGTGGAAAGAAATCACAAATTCTTGAACTTTGTCCTGACTTCCACTCATGAGATATGAAACATGTGCACCCACATAGATACACATAAAATAAAAAATAAATATTAAATCTTGTTTAAAGTTTTAGGAACCAAAAAGCAATGTTCATGGATCCTTTCCTGCCCTGCCCTACATCCACCCCAGCTTAATGTCTGGTTCCTGAATATTGCCAAATCTATATGCCTTCTTTTACCTTTAGTTAAAATAACACACAAACACACACACACACCACACACACACACACACACACACACACACACACACACACACACTAGCTGCCAAGTTCAGGTAACTATCCAGTTGCCTTTTTACTATATCATCTAGCTATCACTGAAATTACAAGCCATAATTTTAGGACCAGACTTGGACCAATTTTCTCCTCCCAAATACCCCTATAACATGCACATCTAGGGATCTGTAAGTAGTGGGTATTTAATAACATGATCCAAAACATGGAACATTAAAATATCTAAAGAGAATTGTTCACTGTGGGACCCAGCAATTTTGTGTCTTCCCCAATCCTGAGTGTCTCTGTTCTACAATGAACATGATTGGAATACATACCACTTTGCAGAATGGTATAAGGGTAGCCCTGTGTGAATAACAGGTAGATGAGAATATCTTTTAGTCCTTGAGTCCGAGACCCCACAGCATCTGCCTCCTGGATGCCTTATCATCCGCTGCTGTTCCCTGACAACAGGAGAACAGACTACATTGCCCAGTCCCAGTCTGGGGGAAAGCAGTGACTCAAGAGGTAGTCAATCCAAGAAGGAAGTGATCCCTCTGCTGAGGCTAAACAAAACTCCAGGAAGGAGGACTCCTAAAATGGTAACAGTGGATTTCTCTAGATGCTGAGCATATGGTAGACTTTTCCTTCTGTTGATCTGAACTTTGTAATGTTAACACAGCATGAATGTATAAAGCAGAAGTACCATGGGATTCTTATCTGTAAAGAGGGAGATCCCAAGTCTTTATCTAGGGAAAACTATGATTTTGACACTTTCCCAAACTCAATACATACCCTCAAGGCTACCCTGGATGATGGGTTCACTCCATCCCCTTAGTGTAAATGTTAGTTAAGGAAAGCTCAACATGTGATTTCTCTGGACCTACAGTAATCTAGAAATAGTCCTTTTTTTCTGAGATAAAGTCTCACTATTTATTTACCTCAGCTGGGCATTGAATGCATAATGCTCCTGCCTCAGCTTTCAAATTCTGGGATTATGGAATTCATTACCATGCCTGGCTCTATTATTATTAGTGGTGGTGGTGGTGGTAGTGTTTAAGACAGGGTCTCCCTGTTGTCCCCTGACCTAGATCTCTCTCTATGTAGATCAGGCTGGTCTCATACTCACAGAGATCCACCTGCCTCTGCCTCCTGAGTGCTAGGATTAAAGGCATGTACCATCACACCTGGAATTTTTTTCCTGGCAATACTGGGGACTGGACCTAGGGCCTCGTGAATTATAGGCAAGCCCTCTACCACTGAGCTACAGTCTCAGTAACATGCCTAGCTATAGACATAACATTGCATCTACAACCTCTCCTCAGGAATGATAATGGTAAAAGAACATTAATACTGGTTCTAAGGTGAGACCCACAAGTCTCTGAAGGAGGGAAAGCAAGACAGATTCTTAGGTCTTTTGCTATAGGAAACTTCATAAAGTCCACTTGAAAATAAGGATATAAGCTTGTGTGGCTAATTTTAGGGAATCTGGAATCCCAGAGCTGTACAAGTAGCCAAGTATCTGTTAATAAGTATAGTGGTTCCTGAGATTTGTACAAAGACGACACTGAAGATATTTGAGGGTTATTTTTAGGGGCAGCAGGGGCTTCTGGCAGCTGGCCTCTTTGAAGCATATAAACAACATCATTGATTAGCAGAAATGAGAGTTGTATAGTTCAAAGTTAGAAGAAACAAAACTCCACCCAAGATTATAGTTTATGAAGTGCCACATTGGGATCAGAACCAAAATCCATGCTTGTCATCTAGTTCATATTTTTGCTTCCAACACAAATTAATTTCATCACTGACAGTTACTGAAAAGCTACATGTTGCCTCATTTTCCCAAAGGACTTTGTGGAGAGGGGAAGGGTGGCTAGAAGACAGCAGAAATAAACAGATGATACTGGGGTATATTTTAGTCAAGTACAGTATAGTAGCTTAAGATCCAGTTGAATACTGTGTTAATACAAAATAAGCTAAACTCAACTGAAAGAGAAATGGTGTTTTACCTGTGAAAGACCATCTTTGCACAGTGGACACTTTGCATTATGATCTAGGCATCTCTCAAGACATTTCAAGCAAAATGTGTGCCCACAAGGTGTTGTGACTGGCTCATAGAATAATCTGAAATTTAGGAAACAAAATAGAAGAAAATTGTAATAAGACCAAAAATAAAAGGCAGGGGCACTTATGGTTAAGTTCCATAGAACTATTTGTAAAACCTGTGGTATAGTATTCTTTTTGTTTTTATCACTGGTACTGTTATACTTCTAGAAAGCGTTTTCTTTTCATTTCTGAGCCATATACGGAACAATGCATTCATTAATGTTTAGGACGTAGCTAAATCATTTTGCAACATTAGTTCTAATCTTTCCCTGTTTGGTCCAAGACAAATTCAGATTAGTGCTCAGAGTGTCTTAACAGATTCCATTATAAAATATTTAGTCAACATGTTCATCTGAGTATACTGTAAGCACACAGACACACAGACACACACAGATACACAGACAGACACACACAGACACACACAGACACATACAGACACACACACACACACACATACACACACACACACACACACACACTGTACATCATAGTACCACGGAGAAAACTTGATTTGTTTGCTAACTTGAATCTTTTCTTCATTTAAGTAACATTTACTGCCTGAAGGCTTCTGCAACCCTAACAAATATCTATTTGCCTTTTGTGTGGATAGATAATTTTCCTAGAGGTAATAAATAATATTGTTAATGCAGTTACTGCTACCAATACATATATAAAGTATGTGGATATATCTATCTATCTACTCACACATATAAATATGTTCACATATGACTTACTTTAATTAGGTCCTATTTCAATTGCTTTGGGAAAGGAGGGTGTTTTCAAAGCAATCTGGAGACCCTTTATTAAAGATGGTTTGCACCTTCAGAGATTCATGGATTTACTTTGTGTAAAGACAACTTCACCTCTTAGAGGCAGATGATGATGACTATTAAGAAGTGGGGCTCACATCTGTCAAGATGATGAACCCAGAAAAAAGGAAGACAAACCTGGTCAGCTTATTCTGACCTCCCTAGAGTGTTCACTTGAGAGGAAGAGGCTACCAGCTGAACAGCGCCCTCCTGTGGCCAGGAGGTGCACCATGAGCTTGGATTGCACTGCCAGGCTGAGCGCAAAAATCAAAATGCCAGCACAGAAAAGTCCTTGAGAAGAAACTGAATCCACCAACTAGGATGAAACTGAAGGTCTGAAGGGAGTGAAGTCACTTGTCTAAGTGTTTACAGTCAATTGTTAAGAAATGAACATCTCTCCACTTTCTACTTCCAGTCATGTGTCATTTCTATTAGACAATGATTCTCATGCAATGTTGCACATCAGACTCACCAGGGAAGCCTTTTCTTCAAACAGTGCTTTTTTATTGATGAATTATAGACATACAATCAACTGAACAGACTCAAAGTGCACCTTCTGGTAGGTTTTTCTATGTATCTATACTTATAAAACTATCACCACAATCTAGATAAGAGCATAACTATCACTCTCAAATGGTTCCTCCTGCCCCTACTAGAAACACCAGGCCCTAAAATCTGGGGAGCTTTTAAAAACTTCAGAAGAACAGGACTGGATCTGCAGAGATCCAGATCAAGTAGGACTAGGAGTCAGACCAGAAGTTTTTTAAAGGCCCTTGGAATTTTTAAGACCCTCCCTCAGACAGTTTTAATGTGAGATCAAGGTTAAGAATCACTTAATTACAAATCCTTACTAGTCTGTACATAGGCCATTCTCTTCATTGGTCTTCAAGCACAATTATCAAAAGTCACCGTGGAACTTTAAAAACATGTACATATTGGGGCTGGAGAGATGTTTCAGCGGTTAAGAGCACATACTGCTCTTCCAAAGGACCTGAGTTCAGTTCCCAGCAACCACACTAGGTGGCTCAAACTGCCTGGAACTCCAATTCCTGAGTGATCCCATACTTCTGGCCTCCCCAGGCACCTGCACTCATGTATACACACACACACACACACACACACACAACACACACACACACACACACACACACACACACACACACATACACACACTCCACACACACAGACACACACTCACAAACACACAATTTTAAAAAAAAAACATGCATATAGTAAACCTCCACTAGCTACAGTTCCATATTTAGCAAGTCACGTGTAGAAGTAGGAATTTGATATTTTGAACAAGTACATGAAAGTCTGAAGTAATAGAAAGACCTTTCATATATTGACTTTTTACTTTAAAAAAATTGTTACAATTCTGTTGAAAAAGTGGTTGATATATCTAGCAGAATTAATAAGCTTCAATAATTAAATTGGTCATAATGGAAAGATAATTACAAAGACTTTATTATGATAGAGGGCCTAACAAGTATAGTAGACAAGAAGATAAAAGTATGAGAATTAGAAAGGGAAAAAGACAAAACTACTGTCGTTATTCACCAATGGAATGATGATAAATGATGAATTTATAAAATGTGGCATTTACTATGCAGTGCCACGCTATTGACTATGCCTTAATTAAGAAACAGCCTGGACATGGCACGCGGCCTGCCAACATGGCAATGTGCATCGTGGTGATCGCCAAGGAGAACTACCCTCTGTACATCCGCAGCACCCCCACAGAATATACGCTCAAGTTCTACTACATGGTGCACACATCCCTGGATGTGGTGGATGAGATCTCTGCCATGGGAAAGGCACTGGTGTACCAGAGGGAGCTCTACCTGGGCTTGTTCTACCCGACTGAGGACTACAAGGTATATGGCTACATGACCAGCTCCAAGGTGAAGTTTGTCATGGTGGTGGATTCCTCCAACACAGCTCTGTAAGACAATGAGATTCACAGTATATTCCAGAAGCTGCATAACTCCTATACAGATGTGATGTGCAACCCGTTCTACAACCCTGGAGACCGAATCCAGTCAAGGGCCTTTGATAACACGGTGACGTTGATGATGATCCAGGTCTGCTGAGTTGGGGCTCTGCTCCAGTCATCTGGAAGAGAAGTGTGTGTGCAATCCTACTTGGAGATGACTATTTATTCCCCTTCCTCTCCCTATGGGCCTTGTGCTCTGTACCTCTCCATTAAAGGCTCCTGAGATGAGATCTACTTTGTCCTTCTGTGTCATCAGAAGGCTCAGCTGAAGACCTGGTAAGGACCATATGCAGCAGAAAGAATGTTCCCAGTAGATTTGATGGGCCTGGTGTAGGGGGCCCAGAGACTGTGGAGTTGGGTAGGAGCTGTGACCACAACCAGGCTATATAGGGGAGGGCACTGAGTACAGCAGGTGGGTGTTCCAGAGTGATAAAGGTTGGGAGGAACCTAGGGCCAGCCTGGGGATAAAAGTGATCCAAGGCAAAGGGCTATACACCTTCCTCCCTGGACAAGGGCCCTCAGCATTTTGAACCCACCATCCACCACCTGTGCACATTGCTGGCCTCAGGAGCTGGTGAAATCTGGAAAGCCTTGTTGGACCCCAGCGTTGGATCAGCTGCTGCTTCCCAAGTGCAAAATAAGAAACTCCAGGAACTTTTCCTGTCTGTCAGTGTGCATGGAGGTCAGAAGGGTTCCTGATGCTGCTCCCACATCATGCATCCCCGAGGACAAGCCAGGCTTTCTTCAGATAATGGTCCTGTGACTGCATGAAGGTGGTGGCTGTGGCTGGCTTCCCTGTGCTGCTGAACCATATGGCTAAATGGTTGATGTCCTAGGAGGTGGCAAAGGCCTATAGAATCTGTCTCTGGCCTCAGTCCCCTTCAGACTTTGCTGCTCTATGCTGTCTTCCCTGAGCCACTAGCCATGGATCCCCCCTCCTCTGCAGAGTGTCTCACCTTGGCGCCGGGCTATGAACTGTCCACATGGGTTGGCTCCAGTAGGATAGGAGACAGCCAGTCTCTGCATATCAGCACTTCTCTCCACTGAGCAGTGTCATTAAGAAATACTGTAAGAGACCAGGCCTCCAACCCCAGATGATTGGCAGATTTAGCCGAGAAGTTCAGCAAGCAGCTGACTGACCTAGATGGAGCCCAGGCACATTTGGGTTAAAGGCTTTAGCAGGAGGTTGGGTTTGGCAAAAAGAAGGAAGTGAGGTGGAATCTTGGGATCTTGAGTTTTCAAGGAAGACCACCTTGCCTGAGCGCTGGGTGCCATGGCTACTGTACCTTGTCCCCAGTACCCCTCTCCCTTTCTTTCTGATAGTCCCACATTTACTGGGGACAGTTGGCTAAGTACCATTTGTTCCTCCTCCTCTGCATACCAGGGTAGGTAGTTAAGACATGTGAGAAACCTGCAGGAAAGATCCTTTAAAAGTGGATTCAGCTGACAATAGAGTACCCAGGACCTTTTGCCTTCTTGTTTGGAAGTTGGATGTGACAGTTGGAGCTCAAACAGCCCTCTTGAGCGCTTGAAGGTAAGATATACACTAGGAGCAGAAAAGAAGGCACCTGAGTCTGGGCTGGTGAGCCGGCCCTGGAGTACCAAGTTCAGCCTTTCATGCCTGAGGCAATAAAGTACCCTTTTCTTGTTTCAGCAAAAAATAAAAAATAAAAATAAATAAAAAATAAAAAACAGTCTGACACTTAGCATTCATTTTAAGACCAAGAGTGGACTCAAACTGCTGAGAACTTGTCGCTTCAGAATTCTCTTGGAGCTGTGCTCTTTGTTTAATTGAACATTTTTATCCAGCATGAAATGGACAAGTAAAAGTTGAACCCTTATTAGAGAATGTTACCCTTTCTGATCCCTAGACTTGGACCAACATTCATACACAATCATAAACCGATGCTACCGATTTCGCTCTGTTTGCAGTAAGTGCTGTTCGCAGCACTTGATATGTCAACAAACACACATATATTCATACATTATTTTAAGTTGAGGACAGGGAAGGGTCAGGATGGATTAAGGCCATATGACCATGTCACAAGAGAAGCACAAGGGTTTGTGAGCTTGTCTACATTATAAACAGTTAAGATAAGATTAACTTTTTGGTTGTAAGATTAGGTAAAAATCATTTGTCCAGAGAATGTCCATATTGTAAGTCATTCCTATAATAAAACATAATGAATGACTGTTGCAATTAAGAGTTAAAA